AAAGGGTCTTAGGCGTTTGGGATTTGAAAATTAAACTTCAAAAGTGTTTAAGTTGAATATCGACCAAGTGGTTTGCAACAGTGCATATACAGTATATATATATATATATAGATATATATATATAGATATATACATATATAGATATATACATATAGATATATGTATATATGAAATAATAAATCAAACAATAGTCATTAAATATTAAAACCATAAACAAACAATTGGCTCATTTCATATTGAATTTTCCATCAATTAATTGGATAAAGAACAAAAAATAAAAACATGTCATCTATCTTGAGCCACAAGAACTCAGTAGTCCCAATCTAACTCTACAGCATGTGAAATATGATGAGTGTTTGGCCATATGGCAAAAAAAGAGCTCGCTCAGCATTATGTATGGTCATGGAATCAAATAGAACTCTCACTAACGGATGATGATGGGGTCGTCAGGGGTTAGAGAAGGTGTACTGGGAACCACAAGGTTGGTGGTTCGATTCCAGGCTGCCCCATGTTCCATGTCGAAGTGTCCCTGAGCAAGACACCTAACCCCCTAATTGCTCCCCAGGCAAAAATGTGAAAAGCCATGGGTTTAAAGTGTAATGTAAGTCGCTTTGGATAAAAGCGTCTGCTAAATGACCTGTAATGTAATAATGATGTTTGTATTGAGGATTATTAAGAGACAACATTAGACTATTTTTTCTCACAACAAGCTCTTCTCTTTCTCTTTTATTTCACTTTCCACATCTCTCTGCCTTTCTTCCCTGGCTTTTTTCTCGCTTAATATGTATTTCACAATTTAAGTCCAGTTGAGGTATTGCACATTTAGCACAACATTTTGTTCTAACTCAAGGAACAATTTCAGATTGGGGGCTTATTTCTCAGCTTGCAGGTGTGTTCGGGCTATGAAGAAAAAGCATATTATTGGGGATGTTTTGTGTGTGCCGTGTAATTTCACTGTTTGAAAAGAAACGTTATACATTTATATCATGGCCTAAACTTTAGGCCATGACATCAATGTTTAGGGCGGGCGGCACGGTGGCGTGGTGGTAAGCACTGTTGCCTAACATCAAGAAGGTCCTGGGTTCGACTCCGTCCAGAGGCATTTCTGTGTGGAGTCTGCATGCTCTTCCCGTGTCTGCGTGGGTTCTCTCTGGGTTCTCCGGCTTCCTCCCACAGTCCAAAGACATGCACTGGGGATCAGGTTAATTGTGGACTCTAAAATTGCCTGTGAGTGTGAATGGTTGTATGTCTCTGTGTTAGTCCTGCGATTGGCTGGCGACCAGTCCAGGATGTACCCCTGTCTATTGCCCGAAGTTGGCTGGGATGGACTCCAGCCCCCCCACGACCCTGCGTTCAGGATAAACGGTTCGACAACGGATGGATGGGTAAATGCTTAGGATAAAACGAGGCAATGTGGAGGTGCTCAAACACAGAGCTGTCGACGGCCATCAATGCGTAGGTGTTTGTTTTTGAACACTTATGGGTAGTTTGTAATTGCTACACCAAACTGTGTTGTAACTTCCCTCTGCATCCAATGGATGAGTTAAATGCAGAGGCTACATTTCACCTTGTAACTTTTATAATTACAGAACAAGCTTTCAAATGTTGTGGAATGAAAGGTACAATTAAGATGCAGTGGAGCAGAGTATTCAGTAGCAGGAAATGGAAATGTTGAATTCAAATACTTCAAAATTGTACATTACAACACTGGTGGATGGGGATAAAGCAGTGAGCTAACCAGTGAAAGTCTGAATATCTGCATTTCACTACGATTTGTCTTTGACGTCTTTGGAAGCTTACAAACAAAGCCTGTGCTTGTTTGGTGACCGGGATGAACAGTTCACCTCTGACCCTTTGTTTCAGAACAATCAGCTTAGCTCGCATGGATTCCTGATGTCTTACAGAGACATTAGTGGGCGTTACTGACAGCAGTTTCATGAGGGGTTACAGTAATGTGTGCTGCAGTGAATTCACAACACTAATGTTCTGAAACAGCAAAGATGCAAATGTCCTTTTTAAATCCATTTGAGCCCGTAATGACACGTCTGCCGTGAGAGGAAATGGAGATGATGAGCATAGACAGACAGATGCTATAAACTGGGATTAATGATGCATGCCGTATGACTGTATGTGAGCTCATTGAGCATCTGCATGCGGCAAACATCAGCCAATTGGTATGCGTCATGGCTTTCTCAATGACTCGGGGGAGAAAGCGGCTGATGGAAGTCATACGGATCAATTTGTTTCATTGGGTGCTGTTCTGGATTCACGGTGTGTTGAGTAAACCACAACCAGACAGTAAGAGAAGATAGACAACATCCTGTGTAGAATGGAAGAAGCAACTCTGAACAATGTCTGAGTGTTGAATATATGTGCCCATACATAGCCATAGAGGTGCTCTATCTTTTTTTTTACAATGATAATGTTAATGGAATTGGCCCTTAAAAATGAGGGGGGCGGAGGAGTAAAATGCTGAACATTTGCAGTATGAAAGTGCAAAAGGCCTTCAGTTTGATCAGTGCTATAAACATGAATACGCTGGGCACAGCGCCTGCCTTCCTTTCACCGATCCTTTTAGAAAGAAAAAAGTAACCTTTTAAATCCACAGCCCCAAAACATTTAATGAAGTGGCATGACTGCTTGTTTTTAACATGTAATAAACCGTCACGAAGAAATTGGGGTGGGACTAAACACCACCACAGGAGAAGAAATGCCACGGGGGCTGGCAGAACTGGGTAGAACAATCAAGTGAGAATGAACGCAGATACAGTGACTGTGGTTAAAGGATTGCACCTTTTGCAAGTTACTCACTGCTTTGTTGTGTCGATCTCACCTAACCCATGAAAGTCTGCCTGGTGGACGAACCGGCTCTTTCAGATTTACGCGGAACTCTGTCCATTGTAACAACATTGGAATGTTCTGTTCACGGCCCAGGGTGACGTGTCACGGCGATAAGCCCTTCTTACACAGAGGGAATTATGGGTTAATTTGATACAGTGTGTAACACTGTAATTCAATGCAGAGTATGAGCAGATAAAACTTTAAACTTAATTTGTAAAGCTGTTTTTGATGACGCTTTTTATCACGCTCACGCGTGAGATCATTTCAAGAGGACACTCACATTCCTTTTTTGGCATGACGAACAAACCTTGATTAAATTGGTTTGCAACCGACCTGAAAACAAATGTAAATGTCACAATATGGTGTCTTTTACTTATTCTCATAAAGAAACTGCTCACACAGCCCTTTTAATACTGGTTTGGCCATGTGGGATCTAAACTGATAAGAGGGACACATTCCGAAAAGGACCCTTAAAAATGAGGGGGGCGGAGGAGTAAGGGGGGATAGGCCCTGTTCATAAAATGCTTAACATTTGCAGTATGAAAGTACAAAAGTGGTTCGGCCTTCAGTTTGATCAGTGCTATAAAAATGAATACGCTGGGCACAGCGCTTGCCTTCCTTTCACCAATCCTTTCAGAAAGAAAAAAGTAACCTTTAAATTCACAGCCGCAAAACATTTAATAAAGTGGCATGACCGCTTCTTTTAACATGTAATAAACCGTTACAAAGAAATTGGGGTGGGACTAAACACCACGACTGGAGAAGAAATACCACGGGGGCTGGCAGGACTGGGTAGAACAATGAAGTGAGAATGAACACAGATACACTGACTGCGGTTGAAGGATTGCACAAAGTTACTCACTGCTTTGTTGTGTCGACCTCACCTAACTCATGAAAGTCTACCTGGTGGACAAACCGGCTGCACTCAAGAAAACACATGAGTTAATTTTGTCGTGTGCTGCAGTTTACTGACATGGTGCCTCAAAGCTCTGAGTAGAGGTAAACAACTGTATGCATATGATATTTTTTTGTTCTTCTCATAGTTTTGTTGTACCTTGAGTAAGAGTGAAGAGCTGTGATAAAAAAATCTTTTCTTTCACTTTACTATTTAAATCATCAGAATCGTCTGATGGCTCAGTAAAAATAAGCCAATACAAATTTAAAAACATAGTGAAAATATACGTGAATGCATGAATAAATAACAGGAACTTGTAAAGTTGAGATTAAAGCATAAGGTTGTCGGTACAAAACGGGATTCCTTTTGTGATTATGCCATTGAATTGGAATTTCCTGAACTCATTCATCAGAAACATTTGTAGTTGGAAGGGTTGACATTTAACAGCAAGAACAGATAGGGCCCCTTTATTTGGACGGATCCCCAAAACTCCTCTAACCTGATCTCTGTTATCTACTAAATTGTTTGTGCATGTCATGAATAAAATATTTCCTAAAAACAGCCAGATGCAGCTCCTAGAAAGTCTCTCTCAGATTTACGCAGAACTCTGTCCATTGTAACAACATTGGAATGTTCTGTTCACGTCCCAGTGTGCAGTGTGGGGAAACCTCCCGGACAGGTCTTAACGCTTCTGCTTAGCAACTCAGACACTAACCTCCCTTTTTGTACAAAGTCTAGAATGTGTCCCCAACAATACCTGATGTAATGTTTAATGAATGGAAAAATCCCTATTGCCCCCGTCTAGACTATGTTTTCCACAAGCACGTCTGGAGCAACAGGTACGCTCCCCCTTTACTACTTAGAGCGGTCTGCTCTTTCAACTAATTCAACATAATCACTGGGTGAAAAAGAGGGACTAATTGATAGAATTTAAATTCAATTGGATATACTTATACTCAGTCTTCCATCGAAACATAAGTAAAGTATTCATCTAACATGGTCAGGTTTTAATGGTTTATTGGTTGTTAAATCTCTCTGGAGGCTTTTTCCTGTAAATCCCAGAGAATGTGCTCATGGGTCAGTGTGTTCCACTCTATGGTTTCTAATCTGCTACGGATAAAACATTTTCTTTATTTACATGTTGAAAAAGACAAATATTTAACAAGATCACAATGGCGGAATTCTAGGAAGAGAAGGCGGCGAGGTTTTACCTTTCATGCAACAGCTTGTTTTGGGGGCAGGACATAAACCCAGGAACTGCACTCTATTGGCTAATCTCTACCAAATATGTAAATGTTATAACAGAGACGGTTCAACCTCATTTCAAAACCCCACACACAAGCCCCTCAGAGCGAGAGAGATAGAAGAACAGCCTCTTTCCATTCAGTTTGTCATTGACCTTAGGAAACAAATGACCGTAACCACTCTGTAAGTACATTTTACTTTGCAACATAACTTTTTTTCACATTTGAATTCTATTTGTAATCAGTGAGAATTTAGGCATATTCACTAAACTTTGTTTCTACACATCGGTTGTTCAGAATTAGTTGAAGCTGTCTGGCAAGGACACACACTTCAGACTGAAACATCATCATCCGGAAAATGACTTGTGCAAGGTGAGTTATTTTTAACTGAACTTCCTTTACTGCACCTGCACCGTGCTTCTGTGTGAAACACATCCTCGTGTCTTCCCCCACAGAGTCCTCCATGCCTTTGGGAATCACCGCCAGCCGGCCGTGACGCCTGTTGACCTCGCTGTGTGCCTGAGCCTCAGCCAACGTCGACCCCTCCACGGGCTGATGCCGCCTTTGAAGCCTGCACCGCGTCACCGTCAGCCGACCGTCCTCCAACCCCACCGCCTCTACTCCTCTTCGCCCAGCTACTCGTCCTCACCGCCGTCCTCCTCCGTCGTGATCACAGAGCCCCGGAGCTGCTTCCGCAGGGACGGCGGCGGTGGTCCAAGCAAGAAGCGCGTGGTCTTTGCTGACGCCAAGGGATTGGCACTAACTGTTGTGCGCCTGTTTATCCCTGAGGCGTCTTGCTTTGCCTCTACGCTGGCGAGGAGACCCTCCTTTCCCAAACTGCAAAGCCAACTGTTGACCTCAGACAAACTGCAGCGCCACAGGCTGCGGCTGGATTTCCCCCAGCCGACGATCGCCTCCCAATCCTCTCTTGCACGCCAGCGATACCCGTGCGTGCAGTTGGAGAGCTGCAACGTTTCGGAGCACTCCTTGAGCGGCAAAGTGCGCGTCAACCATATGAGCATTGACAAGGCTGTGCATGTGAGGGTCACCTTTGACTCCTGGCGGAGCCACCACAACATTCACTGCACGCTACTGCAGCAGCAGCGCTTCGGGGGTTCCAACGAGGACCTTTTTGCCTTCGATTTGAGCTTGCCAAAGAACATCGATCCAGCAGAGCGGGTGGAGTTCTGTGTGGTCTTCACGCCTGGAAACGGCACGACACCACAATGGGACGACAACAGGGGGCAGAATTACCGGCTATTTGTGGAAACCTGCGGATCAAATGGTTTCCAAGGCGATGCCTACCACTGTCAACCCACACTGTCACAATATCGGTCACCACTGTGGCCTTTGCACGTGTCCCCCTCCTTTAGAGGACTTCATCAAGTTCCGTCTGAGCAGAGTGGAAAACTTGGTGTTCATCCAATTTAAATTAAACCTTCGGAGAATGATAATGTGACTATGTTAATTTATAGATATTTAAGAGTAAGTGCTTTTTCTAAAACCTCCAGTGTTGGATAGTCTGAAGTTTCACACCAAAATGTGAACAATGATGAACCAGGCTGCAGGAATGTTCTCATTAAATTCAGTTTTTAAAGAAGCTTTTCTTTTTCTTTTCTTCCCTCTGCAGAAGTTAAATGCCAACTACTTAACACAAGCCATTTTACAAGATGTTTTTTGTGTGTGTGTGTGTGTGTGTGTGTGTGTGTGTGTGTGTGTGTGTGTGTGTGTGTGTGCGTGCATTGTAACGACACATAAGCTGTGATTAAGATAAACATGTATTGGTATACACAGACAAGTGATTGTAATATGAGAACCGTCTGAGATTAGAGCTGCTAGCCCAATATTTTTACCAGGATGAACACCTGAATGAGCTGATGCACTTTCACACGCTTATTATTAGTCTTGGCTCGGATTCCCAATGTGCCGTTTTTATGTAGGTATGTCATGCTTACCAGAGGGAATAACACTCCCCTACCAGCTGTGAACGGTGGAATAACACGTTTGCAACTGTTACTTCTCACACTGTTCTTGATGACAGGTAACCATGGCAGCACTGGCGCTGGCATGTGCTTTGTGCAATGAATAATGATCAGGCCTCTGTTTATACACGCACAGGGTGGAGTCCTCATTAGATAATGTCGCAGCCGAAGTGCCTCCGTCTGACTCCTTCTTAGTCACCTCTGGTTCGGGGTTGTTCCTTTGTTCCTCACTGTCTACTCCTTCGGGCTGATGTCCTCCCAGGGTGGCGACAGATGTTGCATATGTAACAGGTTTACACACCTTTTAGCCTGATACCTAATTTTAGTCGATAGAGGCACAAACATTAAGCCAGAGGCTTAATGTTTGTGCCTCTAGACCCATCCCGTTGTGCATGATATCATGCATGATAACTACTAAACTAAACTACGAATTACATTCATTCATTTTTGTAGGTAGCTTAGAATGATGCCTGAACAGTAAGCTGGTAGTAGCGAATGCATTCCCAACAGATGTAAATTACCAAGATAAGTGTAATTATGCAGCGTTCACATGTTGAAAAGTTCTGCCATTCCAATTGTAATCAAGCTTTATATACTTGAGACCCCTCATCGAGATCAAGATCTCGGTCTTCGTTCCACAAAATTCAACAGTTCAGTCAAACTAAGCCAATTACAGCTCTCACAGCTATCATACAAAGTATAATGAATGTGGCCGGTCCTCATAACGGCAACATAGGTTCCGTAGATCACTGATTCCCAAAGTGTGGGCCGCGGCCTCCTGGTGGGCCGCGAAGGTACTGCAGGTGGGCCGCGAGAGGTCATTTACAATAAATATTAAAACGTTTTTAATTTTCAATTTTAAAAAGTTTAAAAATTAATATTAAAATATGTATTATGCGGCACGTTAGTTATGTGAAACATTAATTGATGAAGCACAAACAATTTAAACGAACAGATTGGTTAATAGGTTGTGTGAATGCATCACTCCAGCCAATCCAAAGACGGGGTTTGTAAACAATCCGATGTAGATACCATGGTGACTGGCTCCGCCCCCTCACTGTCAGAAAGAAAAACAGCGAGCGCGTAGAAAACTCCTTCGATCGCAAGCAGAGATTCTCCTCGCGAGCGAGGAAGTTCACGTTTTGCAAGCGAGCAAATAACTCGCTCGAGACGAATTTTTGCTCGCGTCAGACAGACTTTTGCTGGGGGACGTTTGATTTACGCGCGCGCATCAACCTGATTTGCGCTCTCGAATTTTGACAGTGATTCGCGCTGATAGACTGCAGTATCTTTTGCGCCTTATTGTGCGGAAAACACGGCACATGAGCTCCGGAGAAAATGGCATACAAAACATACATTGTCTGTTAAATTCTTAAGGTCATTTAATCATCCCTAGTTTATGTTTTGATCAGAGTTGTGATTAAAGGTGTGGGTGGGCCGCAAACGATTTTCAGATTTCAAAGTGGGCCGCGGCATTCTTGAGTTTACTGAGTTTTCTTGAGTCACGTCGACCACATAATGACATAATGACTTGAATTATGTGAAGTGGAGGGAAGATCTGTCAGCTTCTCTCTGTCATTATACTGAGGGAGGAGGCTAATTACATAATAATCCTGAATGCATTCCATCTGAAGACTGCATAAAGGATTAGCGCCACACCCCGAATAAGATTTGAGAGTGGATTTAAATGAGAGTAACTGTTGGAAAAACTGCAATAATATCATGTTATAGTCAGCAGGGCCTTTAAAACATGTCTGCACCCTCTTACAATGATAACCAGAGGTGTCAAGTAACAAAGTACAAATACTTTGTTACTGTACGAAAGTAGACATTTTGAGTATCTATACTTTATTGGAGTATTTCTTTTTGAGATTACTTTTTTACTTCTCCTTACATTTTCACACATATCTGTACTTTCTAGTCCTTAAAAATAGCCTTAAAAACACACACACAAAAAAACCTATCCAGATAAATTGCATCATCCGGATAGAGTGAATTTGATTGTGGTTGGATGAGAAGTATTGACATTTACCATTCAGACACCCTATTGGTTTTCTCTGCGATGCGCAGATCAGAGTGACGCCGGGTGCGAAAAGTGGTTGGTGGAAAGTTGGTATTAGTGCAGTACTACGACAAATTACGGCTCTTTTTAGAGAACCGGCTCTTTTGGCTCAGCTCACTAAAAAGAGCCGGCTCTTTCGACTCCCAAATGGCTCTTCAGATTTTTTGTTGCTTAAATTAATTTATTACCAACAATAATGTAAAATTATGCGCAATATGAATTACTAATGTAAAAACAACATGCACCATATCAAATGTTTATTATATAAATACACTTTTATTTATACACTCTACAGAGTGATAAAAAAATAAATTCGAAAGTGCAAAAACAAATGTTTAACTATTTACAAATGAACTTAACTAACTTTAACTATTTTTAAACTTTTAGCGTTTTAATACTTTATTAAAGTATAAAGCCTTGAGGGGCGGATCCTGTTTCTTCTCTCCGTAATTAGATTCTCTCTGAGTGGACTGAAGTTGCTACAATTGCATACAATGTACAATGTCTCCGTGCCATCACATGAGTAAGGCGTGGGTACACTGAAGCCTTGGTCTCCCACCAGCTCAGTAGGTCTGCAGGTTGTTTGTGGAGCCGGCTCGATATGAGATTTTAGTCTTGCAGACTCTACATTCTGCCTTAGTTTGGTCAATGTAATTGAAATGTGTCCAGATTTTGCTGCTTTTTTATCTTTCTAGTCCGTTGCTCTTGTGACTTGTCTCCCTCCCTCCTGTTTGTGTCCTTACTGTGTGCTGTGCTGTGTGTGTAACTCCCGCCCCTCGGCTCAGTGCAGGCCGGAAGACACACATATTAACCAATCAAATGCGGAGAAGTCCCCACCTGAAGAGATGCTGGTGGCAGAGCCCCACCCGAAGAGGACTCTGACTCCCCGCCTCCCTTCAGGTGAGGGACCTTAAACCTACCCCCCAAAAGTCATCACATGTCCTTTGCAGTGATTACGATTGTATAAGTGAGCACTACATCACTGCCACGTATGAAGAAATACATTGAAGAAAATATATTTATTCAAAGATCGCCTCGACCTGGATTCGAACCCTGTGAAGCAAAATAGTTCTGGTTTTGGTGGCGTGTCGTGGAACACTTCCAAACATGTGTATCGATACTTTTTCGCGAGGCTGCAGCCTTCCAACACCGACACATTTGGACTAAAGGGGGGATTCTGTTCGGACGGTCATCGTGCATCACAGCCACTTAAGAAAGTCATTTAAGAAAATATAGATTGAAATATATTTTAATGAAAGATTGCCACAATCTGGATTCAAACAGTGTCGAGCAAAATAACAACACGTTTCGGGGCATCTGCTCTAAGCGGTGGGCCACTCGAGCTTGATATCTGATGTTGCTGATTTCCTTATTATTTTATTAAATTGTATACAGTTGTAAACCTCTTGGTTCAAAGTGAGACAAGACAACTCTTTTTCTGGTGGCGTATGGTTGAACACTTTATCGGTGCTTTTTTGCGATGCTTTATACAGTTATTTACACATTACATCCACATCGTTAAAGTGAAATCCGAAAAATACACCGGGGATTAAGCAATCACGTTAATTAGCAACATCAGTATAAAGGGAGAATTGCAAAGTTTGGGTGACCTCTGCTCAGTAGAAATATATCTTGAAAAGCTATAGAAAAAAAGAGCATCGATGGAACTTCGCAAGTGAATGATTTTTTTTTGTCATATGCAGATGCTATTGAGAAAGTAATCATACTTGTGTAATGTGCTAGAAAACCTGACGGAACTATGTAGAGAATGTGGGGATGCACAGCAAAGTCCAGGGACAAAGGAGAGGTTATGGGTAAGATTAAACTGACAGTTCTGTAATCTTACAAATATAATGTATTACTCGTCAATGCTTCTTGTCAGATCCAGTGTAGAACATCTGAACATCAAAAGATCTGCTCCACCATTCATATCCTTCCCGTTGTCAAAAAAGAGACAATCCAATCAACAAGGGTGCTCATGAACTTGAGAACTCCCCATGACTCTCATCTCTGGTAATTATCTTGCTCAAAACATGGTGTCCTAAAACATTAGTCTTATCTGGGTGGAATTGAAAGGGTCTAAATACAGAGAATTCAAACATTACAAACAAAGTCATATTGTAAAAGTAATAATACGGTGGAAATTTGCCATCACTCCTGCCACTGTCCGCTCTGCACCTATTGCATGCCAGCCATCAGTCTTTGTGCTTTGTCTCTTCACAGGTCACCATGGATCGTGGTTCTATCTGGACCCTGGTCTTGCCGGGCTATTTAATATTTTGTAGCTCTTATGATGATCATTCTGTAGACTATTTCACTTCTGTCCACCTTGGGAGAAGGATCCCTCCGGGTTTGCTCTCCCACAGGTTTCTTCCTCTTTTCCCCGTTAAAAGGGTTTTCGATGTGAGAGTCCTGGGACAGAGGATGTTGTATATGTACTGATTGTAAAGCCCTCTAACGCTAATATTTGTTTTTGGGATTGACAAAATAAATGTAATTTAATTATAATTGCTCCTGAGTTTTTGCTCTTGTAGATATTTGGCATGGTGATTTTTTT